GTCATTCCTACGATTGTAGGATGCGTTTATGGACTCCTTGATTTTCATAGTAATTTCTATCACTTCTATAATGTATTTACACCCAAGATAGAATCCAAAAGCAAAGATGGCATACAGGGCCGCATTCAGGGCTACCTCCGACGTGTTGTAAAACAAAGATGACAGTATTTAACGAAATCATCTAATATAGTGATGTAGTTATAGTTAAGGGTGTCGCAAAATCAAATTTTTATTCTTGAAGGGGTGTTAAGTTTTTCTAGAGATTTTTCAAACTAGACAACATGGAGAAATATATACCAAAGGTAACCAGCTGCTCACTATGCACAATGAATCCATAGTCATCGAGGGGTAGAGATGACACTTTTGCACATGGAATAAATATGAGGCTGTTCAATCAATTGAAAATAGATTTTGAAGGTGCACTTCGGACTTGCTTTGTCTGTAGTTTATCTGTAAGTTAATATTTCACTATAAGTGTAATATGTATTCTGTGACAAAACAAAAACGCGAAACTTACTCAGACTCTCTTGAAGAGGTATCGTCATTGATGTTTATGATAATGGATTCAAAACCTCTCTCAATTATGTTCTCCAGCTCCCACATTGCTACCTCCACTTTCTCCTAAACATGCTGCACACATTTTTGCCATCTTTTTGGTGTGACCCTCTGTATAGCAATTCTCAACAGCTCTTGCATGTCAGAAAATTTAGACGTGGTAAAATGCCTGAAAACCACTTCTCGAATGCTTCCCCATTCATCTCTTCATGGTAGTCAGTCGGTTTTTTTTACTCAAAAGACCATAAGCCGTCATCCACGAAGCCATCTACACCCCCAATGTGGCAAATAATGAGCCTTTTTCCTTTGCCTAGAAAGATAAAATCCGCTAAGTACACATTCACGTCTTGTAGGTACGAAGATAGAGAGATATTGTGCGCAAAAATTGATACCGTGAACTACTTCGATCTATTTACCTGCTAGATTTTTCAATCCGGTCGACAGTCCATCTAGAAATGCCCTTCTGGATGAAGTCACAGTTTTGTCAACCCATAACTTCGGAGTAGAGTGCCCAGCGTTAATCCAGGTTTCGTCCAGGTAATAGATCTTCCTGTGCTGATCCCTGAATGATTTAATTTTGGTCAGGTACTCTCTCCTCCACAGAACAATTTCTTCTCTATCCATAAGTAAGCTGTTACGACCTCGTTTCTTCCATTCGAAATTAAGATGCTTTAAAAGTTTATGAAAAGTCGAACGTTTGAAATTTGGTAACATAGCGTCCTCGTTAACCTCCCGTAGTACTTTATCAACTGTCGGTATTTCGTTTCTGAGTAAGAAGTCGTGCACTTTCCTCCGAATCGCATGCTTGTCAGCGTCATCCAACGATCTTATGATACTTTTGCGATTTTTACCCGTCATTGGATTGGAAAAGGCATGCTTTTTCTTATGTCTTCCTTCCGCTCTATCTTGAATGTGTTCAATATGACGTCTTTCATGTCTACGCTAAGATGTCTTTTTTTTCGTCAGCAGTATCTGTACTGGACATGTTCAGGATTGGTTCAAAACAAATAATAACGAGGAATAACAATAACAACCAGAAACTTAACAAATTACTCAAATACACTTAGCAACAACAACAGCAACAACCAAGCAAGGTGAATACGAAAACACGAGCACGCAGTGATACACGCGACGGTCGGTGGCCTGAATGCAACTCTGCCTGCCCTGCCCCTGCCCCGCGCATTATTCCGCCAGGCGACCGCTTGAAATTTAATGGCGAATTGACCAATAAGAGGCGTTGTCCCCACCTGTTACCAAGAGATCACGCGCTTACTGTTATTATTTACATCTCTTGAATTTGGATTCAGTTTAGACCTCTACTGTTCCTTGTCTGCATCAGCGTTCTCCTATTGTGAGGTTATGTTCTGTTTTTGAGTTTTCACAACATTTCAGGCTGACATGACAGACGATTAAAATCAAGTTTCATCAGCCTGAAATTTCTTATGATTCAAAAAGAAACTATAACCTCAAAACAGAGCGCTGACATGAAACAGTGGAAATATATACCCCTGCCTTTCTGAAGGACAGGAAAAACTAGGGGAATAAAGGTGGCCGTTAAGGCGTCCTACAATTGTAGGAACAACTGACGATATGGCCCTTAGTACCGCGAGATCCCAGGAAACGTTACTTAGATTGTGAAATTGTAGTAGGTGATGCTGAGATATTATTTAAAATTGGTTTATTGGTGACATAGTTATTAGTGCAAGTAAGTATGTTCGAACACCTTCAAACATCATTTTACTTCCCGCGCCGCGACGAGGAAGTATTGTAACCGCAAAAAAAATGTGAGTGAGACATGTTTATTTGTTGTTGTATGACGAAGAACCATATCACTTATTTCCGTCGCTCTCTCTGTCGGTTTGTCCGCTAATCCTTGGCACATCTATATGTTAAGAAGGTTACTACTATGGCACGGACGAAAAGGCTTTGCAATTTGTAAACGGCGGTCCAATAGCTGTGGAGCAAAATGTCCAAGGAAAAAAATTGAGAAAGCGCAAATTTCGTTACAAAGGCTTCTCATCAATTTAGGAAAAAATTAGGAGTACAAAGTTCGGATGCAGGGGGTTGTAAGAAGGATAGTTAATTAATAGCCTTCTATCCAAGGTAATCCTAAGCACCTATTAGACATATTTCGCACATCATAGGTCCCCTACATTTGCCCCTGAGACTTAGAACAATACGCCCCTGCGTCTTTTCTATGGCTTCACCGGCAGGTGTGCTAGCCTTTGTAAGTGCCTTGGCATGACTGACGCTCTGCCGCACTACCTCGTCTGACGCGTTGTACGGCTAGGTATCTAGGAGAGTCGACATTGTCAGATGGACGGTACTATGGTTATGCAAGCGAAAGAGTGTCTGTGGACTAATTATTTGACCTATTTAATTTCTCTGTTATCCATACTCGTAACTAACTTTTTTCTCAGAGGGTCTAACATTAACATGCTGCTTTCGTCCGTCCGACCAAGGGCAGCCAACCATATACAAGTATTTTTCACTTTTTTCTGACAACTCATCAGAATGATCCTGGCTTCATCTCTGAGAAAAAGAACTAAAGCATACCAACTAACTACTTCACTCCGGTATTTTTTATCCTTTTTTCCTCTCGATCGCTCATACATTTTTTAGACGGATAAATTTATTGTTCTGCATCACTTTCAATCTGACAGATTCTTTGGAGGGATAAATAATAACTATAAACAAAGTATGTTTAGATTGACGTTTTAAAATTTGTAACGTATTTAGCTAGCTCGAAAGCTCCGATACTTTTCCGACAGGTTTCGATTTAAAAAGAATTGAGCTTGAAATGACCTTGAAGATGTAGTTCAAGGTCAAATCCGAGATCACAAGCAAAAATTTACTGCAGACCTGACTGACCTTGATAGTTCTTTTCATCACTAATCCTGTGAGGTTTATCCCTTAACCGGCGTGGCCGAAAATTGTAACACATATGGCGTTGCGGAGTCCCTGGGACTCCAAAATAAAAAATGGTGTTCTTTTTCAAGTTTTTGAAAGAAACAGTGGTTTTTAGTTAAATAATTAATCATAGATATGTATGGAAATAACTTTTATTTTTATAATCATTTAAGAAAAAAAACTGATGCAAACATAATCTAAAACTAAAAATGTTAACAAAAATAAATATTGCACTCTATTGATTCTCATTTTTAAAACAAAACAAAAAAATAACAACTTTTTATATTGAAACCATATTTTACAATGTCTGAACTAGAAATAAAAATAATAACATTGACTTTCAACCCTAAAACAAAAAAAATAACAAAGGACCAAATATTCCTAAAAAAAGAAAGAAATAATTATGATTCTTCTACATTTTCAATGCATTGAATACACATTTTTTGGAGCATTGTAAACATATTGGTTTTTTGCAATGAACACATAGATAACCAGTTTTTCTTTTTAATTTCGGGTCACAGATAAAACAATATTGTCTCTGATTTCTAGGCAAAGTTTCTGCACCATCGGCTGGTGCCTCCGGGGCAATCTTCAAAATTCTGACAATACCTGCTTTCAACTCTCTTGGCAAATTTGTTTTTTGGGATCTTTCATGGAGAAGTGGTTCATACAGTTGTTTGGCCAATAATTTCAAAAAATCAATTCTGTGTAGCCTATTTGCGTTGGCACAAGACTGATGGATGATGAATGCATTTATTGAACACATGTCCACAATTCTGTAAAACAGAGCCATAGGCCACCGTTGCGTTCTTCTGCTACAGCAATATTTACTACATTTTTCGTCTACAGCATCCACCCCAGATTTTGTGTTATTATAAAAGGCATTGATTTCTGGCAAACCGTTGTCTTCCTGCTTGGAGTGATGCATCGAAGGAATCATTAGTACAGCCTTATTTTTCTTTGGTACTCTGGAAATCAATGTTTTATTACTTGTAAAGCCATACAGTGTGGATCCCACCGGTCTTGTTCTAGAAGGTAGAAATTCTGTGGGTATTTCACGTTTGTTTTTTTTTAAAGTCCCCACGTAAGTTAGTTTGTTTTTCATGAGATAGTCTATGAGCTCTATTGAGGAATACCAGTTGTCGCCGGTGATATTTCTGTTGCTTCCAAATATGGGCTTACAAAGACGAACAACAGCTTGCGTTGGAATAGAAAACCGTTTTTCTTCTTCTGTTATATCCTCTAGCGAATCGGTACCCTTTCCACAATAAATATATGTATTGTATATGTAGTGAGTGCGAGCATCAACAAGACATTGCACTTTCAAACCATATTTTACAGGTTTACTTGGTAAATACATTTTGAATTTACACCTGCCTCTAAAACCGACCAACATCTCGTCAACAGTTGCGTTCGCTCCTAAACAGTAAGCTGACTGCGAATTTTGATTAAATTTTTTAAATATATGCGAGATTGCTGCAGCTGGGTCAGTTTTTATTCTTAGTATTCTCTCTTCATGAGTATCAAATCTCAGGTCAAGCTAATAATACGGAGAATCGTTTTGCTGACATTACCAATCGAAAGATTTCTCGACCAGTCCCGTCGGTTGCAAATATTGATTCAATGGTCTCATTATTAGACTTGAAAGCAGCAGTTAACAGCAGAAGTCCCAGAAAACCATTAATTTCAACAGAATTTGCTTCCCTGTATTCTGCGCGATTTTCATTGCCTGGCTTAGAACGAAATTCCTGGATTTTCAAATTTGTGTAATGCACAACAATGTCTAGTATATCCTCAGAGAAAATTTTTCGCCATGCGTTCACCGGTTCAATGTTTGGCAAAGCATTCTTATTTCCTGGCAACTTCAATATATTATGGGCTGGTGTTCTTACATTTCGGGTTGGTTCAGTAGAAGCCCATTTGTATCTGTTTTTTCCGTAGAAATATTTTTTAACTGGCTCACTTGTTTCACTGTCCTCTCCACTTTCAGTAACATCTTGACCATCATCATCAGAAGCACTGTAAGAAAGCTCACTCCCCGTTTCGTGATCACTTGTGATGGTATTCTCGGATGTAATATTGCTCTCAGGATCTGCATCTGGATCTGAAAACTCTTCGTCACATTCTTCAAACCACCTTTGCACAGTTTCTTCAAAGTTAGGATCTGTGAACCTAACTCTGTTTGGATTCCCATACATTGTTGCAAAATTCAAAGTATACTTCTAACTGCGTCCCGGAGTCCCACGGACTCTACGTTCTTTGCTACACGCACTTGCCTTGATGATAGACTCAAGTCAACTGACCACGCGTCGCGTCTCCCCACCATACGAAGGTACTGAACGACGCGCTCTGTTTAATAAACGGAGACGGAATTTATTAACTAGTATATACTTGCTGGAGTCCAACGGACTCCACAACGCCGGTTAAGGGTTATAGATGTTTTCTTAGCAGCACATCTTCATTTGATCTTTAGTAGTTATCCTGACCTTGATCTTTGATTATGTTTGAACGTAAAATTTTCTGTTCTCTCGATTGCTTGCATCAAAAAAAGGGGTTTCTATTTGAAAAAATAAAGTTTGCCGTAAACTCAAGGAGAAGAAAATGTCGTTGAATATTGCCAAATGTCATAGTTTCACTTTTACAGGAAAAGCACGATTTATAGATTTTAATTACAACTTATTGTTAAGTAGGAAAAGTGAATGTAAGGATCTTGGGGTCTGCTTTCAGACTAACCTAAAATTTTATCAGCATTATGAAACTATTGTAAACAAAGCATATGGGATCCTGGGTGATGTGATAAGGAATACAGAGCACAATGCTTATCCATACATGATCTCTTATAGTAGTATGCTAACAGAATTTAAAATTGTGCGGTTGAGCGTTAGGCGTGGTTTTAATGATATCTTGTTCATTTATTTCATAATAACATAATTAATAATTTAAAATATAAGAAGTGCTCCCTAACAAATAATACAGGGTGGCCCATAAGTCCTTTGAAATTTCAAATTTGAATAAAATTTAACGGGTGAGCGTGAGCGGCGCGGGCGAGGTGGGGGCAGTACCTTCAGTGTCTGGGAATTCAGTCGCCATGGAGTGTTTCACTGGAGCGGATCGTGCTTTTTGTGTGCGCGCGTTTTATCAAAATAATGATTCGGCAACTATTGCGTGGCGTAAATATCGAGAATACCACAACTTACACAATTTTACAAAGTGTCCAACAGCTCAAACGATTAAGAACTGGGTTGCTAAGTTCGAAGAGACTGGTTCGACGTTAGATAAACAGCGGTAGGGTCGACCAAGGACAACTCGTATTGAAGAAAACATCAACATTGTGGCACAGTCTGTTCGTCAAAATCCTACCCAGTCTACTCGTAAGCGTTCCAGTGCACTAAACGTACCCAGAACATCTTTACAGCTGATTTTAAGGAAGATTTACGTCTGCACGCTTACAAAATTCAGTTAGTGCAGGATAATGACGCTATTCAGAGACTAAACTTTGCGAATGAAATGTTGAATCGATTTTCTTCGCTCAATAATGTGTTGTTCTCGGACGAGGCTCACTTCCATTTGAACGGGCATGTAAATAAACAAAATTGCCGTTATTGGAGCCCCGAAAATCCAAGGCGTAAGCATCAGAAGCCCTTACACAGCCCTAAAGTTACAGTTTGGGCTGCTATGTCAGCGCATGGCATCGTAGGCCCTTATTTTTTTGAGGACGACAGAGGTCGCGCATTAAGTGTTACTTCGGAGCGGTATGTAGCAATGATAGAAGAGTTTTTGACACCAGCGTTGCAGAATGTTCCAGGCTATAATACGCAGACCTGGTTTCAACAGGCTGGAGCAACTGCCCACACCTCCAACACTTCTATGCCCGTCGTCTGTCAACTTTTTCCCAGCAAAATAATTTCTCGAAGAGGAGACATTTCCTGGCCACCACGTAGCCCAGATTTGACCCCAATGGACTTCTTTTTATGGGGCTACCTCAAGAGTAAAGTATACCACACCACTCCGCGATCAGTTGATGTCCTGAAAGAAAATATCCGAAGAGAAATGGCAAGCATTACAGTGTTGACTTGCCGCGCAGTCATCGACAATTTTAGACGTCGTTTATATGAGTGCCGTGATCGTAATGGATTGCATTTAGACGATGTGATTTTTAAAACATAATTCCCATTCAATAAAGATGATAACAAAATATAATCATTCTTCATAATGTAACTAGTTTGGTTTTATTCCTTTTTTTCCAGCTCAAAGGACTTATGGGCCACCCTGTATATTCTTTGCTGTTGCGAGCATCAACTTGAGAATAAGACGCAACAAACTCTTTGACTGTTCACCTGTAAGTTGTGCTTCTATCAATAGAATGATATATGAGCGTAATAGTTATACGAGCCCCTTCCCATTTCAGTTGGCCCACTTCAAGATTTGTACCAAAATATGCCTTTATAAACTAAACATGACGAAACTATTTACTGCTAAAACAATTGATTTTCTAAAAAAAATTTTAGATACACTCTAGTCGTAAAAAATACATATTTAAAATCACTTAGACCTATAACTAATACAACATCTGAACAAATAAACAATGTGCGAATAAATGCGCGAAGTTAACAAAGCAACAATTGAAATATTACCATTGGGTAACATCACTTTTATTTTTTATTACAGCTGCAATTCTTTGGGACATAGTATTAACCAAGTTTTGGCAAAAATTTGGTGTAAATCAATCCCATATTTCTTGAAGCTTTTGTCTCAGTTCGGTGATTGTACGAGCAGGATGTTTTCGTAGAACCTTTTTCATCACAAAGTTTCAATAGGTGACAGATCTGGTACATTATTTTCTTCCATCCATTTGATAGCCTTTTTTGAGGTATGGCACGCTGCACCATCTTGCTGAAACACAAAATCTTGGCCGGATGTCAAACATTCTTCCATCACTGGTAAAAGCGATTCTTCTAAAATTGCCAAATATTTGTTTGTATCCACAATTCTATTAATAAAATGAAATTTTGCTTCTTCTTTTGATGACCTACTGCCCAGACCATAATGGATGCTGGAAATTTCACTTTTCTCTTCAGACAGTCAACATGGAATGCTTCATTTTTTTTTTGCGAATAACTCTACTGCGACTGTCACAACACAAACTTCGAATCGGGTCTCATCACTCTATTGTATTGCACACCATTGTTGAGGTGTCCATTGTCTATGTTTTTAGCCCATCTAAGCCGATTTTTCTTTTGCAGTGGAGTTAGTAGTGGCTTTTCTTTGGCCTATAAACAAGTTGTGCAACTTTAGGGTTTTTACTTCACTTTTTTTATAAGAAAACTTACCTTGCACGTGCTAAATCCCAGTTTGTGGGCCTCTCTAAGAGTTGTGGACCTCGAAATTCTCCTTCCAACAGCGTCACTCCACAGAGCACTTAATTGTAAATAATTGGCACGCCTGTTTTTCACGATTATTCTTCTTAATGCTCTTTGGTCGGCATTTGTGATATTACTTTTTTTCACATATCGTGGGTTAATATTAACTGAACCAGTTACGTTATATCTTCTAACAATATTTCTCACACTGTACCGCGATAAGTCTAACAAAGTTGCATTTCTGGTAAAATTAAAGTAACAAAGTTATAGCCCTTTGGAAGTTTGAGTACCGCCTTGTCTCAATAATAATATTATGTGCTCGTGTTTGGCGACAAAGGATAGAATCCGCCTTATCGGTTCATCGCATCGGAAACAAAAAAGCGAAAGAATTTGGAACGATGTTTTTACAATTATTTTATTCAGTTGTATACAGTCAGTGTCAGTCGGTAACGCGTGAGTGAATAGTGGTGTCTGTTGCGTGGCTCAAACGAAATCAAAAATGGCACATGCTTACGATAATGCTGAACTTGTGGACATGATTCTTATTTACGCGGCATCACGGATTTATGCTGATTGGTTTCCCAATCGAGTGCAACCAACCCCTCGTGCCTTTGCTAATGTAGTACAAAGGGCTCGTGAATCAGGTGACATAAAACCTCATAGGGAGGGCATGCCAGTGCTCCAAGACCGCACGATCAAATACAAGTCCGCACTGAAATACTTGTCGGGAGGATACTTTATAAAACAAGGTAACATTTTTTTTTATTTTTTTTTTATTTTTACACACATATTTTGGTTTATCTTCCTTCTACAATCGTTATCTGAAAATTAATGACTCAACTTCAAAGTTACCCTGTATTTTAGTTATAAGTTTTTGTGTATCCTCTGTTTCTCTACTAGCCAGTAAGCACTCCTACATGTAACTAGATTCAAATGTGTTTGTAAGAGTTAAAAAAAATAATTAAAATAATTAATTAATCATGAGGTGAAAGTCAAGGTCATTCCTTGCTGAAAGTTACTGAAGACCTGCATTTGATCTTTTCCCTCACCCGAGAAAATACAGAGCCTTCCTGGGACTTTCGTGACACGCTGTATACCAAATACACCGAGCTCCATCATCGCCTGTTCATTCTGTATCGAATGAATGCTTGCAAATGAACCGAACGTTGAAAGCAAGTCTTATTCACCCCAAACGTCACAAACATAGCTGCAGCATGATATTATATTACGGCTTGGCATGTTATTAAACCCAGAGAGCATCCACCTTATTTGGAAATGCAACGTATCAGACCAACTGACGGCTTGGTTTAGGAGCAGACTGTTTATTCCACTGGCGTAGCTACTAATGCGTGTGTTCGAAAACATTACTGTGGAGCTATCGTGAACTGTGCTACGGCGGGATTCTTTATCCTTTGTAATTTCCATGCAATGTGACTGAAGTCTCTGTCTAGAATGCACGCGTTCACCTCGCGCGTCTTCCAATGAAGTCTATTCTTCTATCTTTCCTAATTTGAGGCTTTGGCAGTTCTCGCAGTATCTCAACAAACAGTAGTGTCTGTCTTGAATCCACAAAGATTATGTTGGTCTTCAGAACGTTCACATTAGTTAGTTGGATGAAGCTAGTAGATGGCGCTTCGTGCTGTCTTATTTCGGTAGACCACACACTTTTAATAGTGTATAGTTGCTTTGTCTTCGTTCGTTGTCCGAGATAACCAAGTCTAGACCATACTGAGTAACCAAAAAGCACGAAACAGAGAATGTTCATTTTGATAAAATCTTTGCAATAAATGTAATTGTAGTAGCGTTGCAGAGGATGCAATAGGAATAACCACTAGTCG